CATTTGATACTCATTGAGTATCACAATTAAACTTACAAAATCATTAATGAGTATCAATAATTAAAAAATTAAAAAAATTTAATATTAAATTTATCTTATTGATACACAAAGTGTATCATCATTATTGATGCTCTAACCAAACCCATTCAACCAAGGAAACCCATTAAATTAAATCTTAATATTCCTAGATTAAAGTCCAAATTATAATAATATTCCTAGATTGAAGTCTCAAAATAATATTATTTTATCTCCTACTCATCGGGCCGATCTATCTATACCCGCCACCCAGAGGTATACCCAACGAGAAGATCCATATATGAACATCGGTATAGTACTAATTTATAGGGAAAATCGCATTTTTAACCCTGAAAGTCAGATACTAGCACTTTAAACTCCGATGGAGTTTCACTAGCACTCTAAACCTTCAAACTCAGAATACTAACAGTTTAAACTTCCAAAGTAGCTCTCGTGTCTGCGCCGACCAAAACAGAGTCGAAACAGTTAACTCCGTGACGGAGCAGTGACGGAACAGTAAACGACTGTTATGTAATTAACACGTGCGTCGTTAATTTAATTTTAAATTAGAAAACGTGTTTTTTTATAAAATCAGAAATTAAAAATAAATAGTTTTTATTTATAAACCCCTAAATTGATTTGGGGATCTAGGTTTCTCATTCTCACAAACAATCGAAACACAATTTAGAGAAGGAGAGAAAGCGATCGATTCGAGAGAGAAACAACGAGGAGAAGATGGCTGAAAGTGGTAGTTCATCGACAATTGAATCGAAGAATGACAATGGTGTTGTGTGTAAATGTCGTCGATCAGCTAAGATTGTGAGAGCTTGGACCGATGAAAACCGAAGAAGGAGGTTCTATGGCTGTCAAGGTTGTAAGGTTATGAACGGGTATGAGTCTTGCAATTTTTTTCGTTGGTTTGATGTGGAGAAACCACATGGGTGGCAATATCTAGCCCTCTTGGAAGCAAGAGATTTGATTCGGGCACAAAAAGTGGAGATTGGTAATCTCAAGAACAAGGTAAGAGCTCTAGCTCGTGAAGCTGGAAGTATGGTAGAGAAAGTGATTTAGTGGATGAATTGAAGGAAACTCGTGAAGACTGTGAAGCACTAAGGCGAGAGGTTTTGATATTAAACGAAAGGTGCAGGGTGTTTCGTAATGTCTTTATAACTTCATCTATCGGATTTACAGTGGTTATTGGAGTCATAATGGGAGTATCGAAGTGGTAACCATTAGGTTTCTTTAGAGAAAACATGTTGCTCAATGGCGTGAATCAACATTGTCTTTGTTGTGTTTTTGGTTCTGCTTTTGGTTGTGTTTTCGTAGTGTCTTTGTTTGTGTGTCATTCAAAGACTATGTATCYATTTCTAAGACTATCTATCAATTTGTTTGATGTTTATTAGACAAAAGCTTCAAAATTATAAAGTGAATCATGAAGTTGCAATAAGGTAGTTCAAAACGTATATGAGAAAGTCACAAAACATATACTTATCTTATAGTCAATTCTACAAAACACTTATTCGATAGTCACACAAATCAAAATATTTCAGAAAACAAGACACTTATCCGAGAAAGTCACAAACCAAAACATTTATCTGATAAGTCATACGAACCAAAAATATAGATAGAGAGTTATGGAATTCAGAGAATTCAGACACTATTGTTGCTGTCAATTATTCCCTTATGGAAGCTGTGGGTTATTGGCTTGTGGAGGCTGTGGGTTGAGGTCAGACCTGTCATAAATCTGGTTTCCAGAAACCTCAAAAAGTCGATCACTGAAAGGACTCCACATGGTTCCCATACCAAATGGGATGTTACTAGTTTTCCTTATCTTCAATGGTCTTCCTCGTGCTGCCTTCTTGACATGTGGTTTTGGATTACTGAAAGTTACTGGAGTTTGGGAACTTGCTTCACTGTTTTGAGTTGGTTGGGAGGTGCTGGTATTTGTTCTTCGTTGCCTCAGCATGGAAATAGTAAGTAAACTTAAAAGGAGCTACTTGATAAGTCTGAAAATTAAAGACAATCTGACAACAAATACGTGAGTTGGTTGGGAGTTACTTCCAGCAGCTGGAGTTTGCCTTTCTCTTCTTGTAAGCTTATCCCATTGATCCCATTCTTCATCTGATTCCAATGGAGTATTTGGATACTCTTTCTCTCATATACCAAATTCCTCTTCACTTTCTTCAGCTTCCCTCTCTGTTGTTGTCTTCTCTTCTTGATTTACGTAAGCTTTCTTCTCAGGAACTATTTTTGTACCCTCCTCAAACAGTGCCTTGAACATATCATCACTACTACCATTTCCTGCATCAGCCACAACATCACTACCGTCATCTACCACATGGTCACCTCCTTCCCCAGGCACAATCTCTCCTCCTTCTCCTTCTCGAGTCACAGTCTCTCCTCCTTCCCGAGTCACAGTCTCTCCTCCTTCACCACACACATTCTCTTCCGCCACATTATCCTCTTTTGGTGTTTCATCCTCAGA